CATCCATCCATCCCCATACACACCCATCCTCATATACCCACATCTCTCTCTGTGTCATACATTTCAATGACTGATACTTTAACCATTATACAATAACACCAAAGATTTTAGCTTTGGAATTTCCTTCCTTTAATAGTAATATTAGAAGAGATTTAAGGCCCCTCATTCTCCCCCTGTCCATTCATTGCCGATCTGATTCACTCATTCAAACACACAATTACCTTACACAATTCCATTACATTGTGGTGGCACCTAAATGCCCCAGCCATGCCAAGGACCTCACTGTGCCAGGTGCTGCACTGACAAAGGGAAAGGAAGCCCCTGCCCCCGATGCCTGGAGTCCTGACAGCCCTGGGAGGGGAGTCAAAGCAGCCCCCCCTTGTCTCAGATCCGCCCTCCCCAAAGCCCCAGGATTCAGCCCATGACCCCGGTCACTACAGGGCTGCCCCTGGAAGTTGGGGTTACCGCATCCCCACTCCCGCAGACCAGCTGCGGGTCAGCGATGGGGCAGGAACGCAGGTGTGCCCCCGACAAACCCAGGCAGCGGTAGCAGAACCAACACCCGCATTCAGGGCAGACCACCATGGGGCAGCCTTGCGTGGTGTGGCTCAGGAGGGCGTGGCAACGGGGACAGGCCCGCAGCGAGGGGCAGCTGTGGACGGACGATCTTGGGGCCTGGATCTTGGGGGCGTCATGCAGCGCAGCCTGTAGGGGGCATCGCGAGTCAGCATGGGATGAGGGGTCCCTCCATTCCGTGCGGCAGCCCCAGCAGAAGCAGTACAGCCCCCCGGCCCGCTGGGAGCAAGGCAGGCAGGGGGTGCGCAGGGTCCCGGGATCCAGGCGCTGGACGAGGTGCTGGCAGCGTGGGCACTGCAGGGCAGAATGAGGATGTGTTAGCTACTGAGACCCCCCGCCCAGATCCCAGCCTGAGCCAGATCCGGGAGAGAGGGGATCAGGTCCCCCTCACGTCCCCCAGGACTCACCTGGCGGTAACTGCCCCTAGCCCCCTCCTGCGCCAGGATTTGGGCCTCCAGCGTGGCCTGGTCCTCGTCTGAGAAGAGCCTGAGTTTGCACAGCTCTTGCCAGAGCCAAGGGGTGTCCGGGCAGCGTGGGCAGCGGAATGAGGTGACGCCCTGGACGGGAATGAGGGGACCCAGATCAGCCATCAGCTCTCCCCTGCGGCCCCCGGCCACCCACTTACCCCACCCCCATCCCTCCCCAACTGCCTTCCTCCTTAACCCCCCTGAACTCCCCTCCCCTTCCGCTGTCACTCTGCATCCAACCCCCCTTGAATCCCCTGAAACCCCTCCCCTCCCCCATCACCTCAACTGACCCCTCCCCCTTGTACCCCTTCCCCTGTCACTCTACATCCAATCCCCCCAGCATCCCCTAACCCCTCCTCTTCCGCATCACCCCAACTGACCCTCCCCCCTGAACCCCCTCCCCTTCCCTTCCCCTACCCTGCCCTCCCCCAGCAAACCCCCCTCCCCAGCACTCCCTCAACTGCCCCCAAAATCTGCTCTGAAGCTCCAGCCCCGCCCCACAATCCGCTCGATACCTCCCTCCGGAAGGCCCCGCCCCGCGCCCACCTGCCCATAGCGCGGGGGGGGGGGTTACCTGGTCCAGCAGCGCCCGCACCCAGCCCCGCAGCCCAGCCGCGCTCACCCAGTGCCCACAGGTCATCTTCCGTCCCAGCGCCCCGGGGGGCCCCGCACCTGCAGGGAGAGAGCGGGAGGGGTGAGACAGGGCCCGACCCCCCGGAGCTCGGCTGCTCCAGCCCTTCCCCAGGGGTGACCCCAAAGGGCCCCACGGGGGGGGGGGAGGGGAGGGGCCGGGGTCTCACCTGGGGCCCCCCCGGGGGGGCAGATCACCTGGAACTGCTCGGCCAGCGCCCGCCACTGCCCTGACGCCATCGCAGGCTGCCGGGATCATGTGTCCTGGGCTGGGACCTCCCCCCCCCCCCCCACGGTTTCCCTTTCGCTTTCACCCTCCCTGCGGTGCCCAGCCCCCCAGCTCTGCCTGGGCCACTCATTCTGAACCCGCAGCCCCCTGCTAGCCCACCCCTGCCCCCCCCACCCCCCAGCTCTGCCCGTGCCCCTCACTCCCGACCCGCAGCCTCCTGCTAGCCCAGCCCTGGGCTCCCCCCAGCTGTGCCCGTGCCCCTCACTCCCGACCCGCAGCCCCTGCTAGCCCAGCCCTGCCCCCCGCCAGCCCAGCCGGGGCCCCTCACTCCCGACCCACAGCCCCTGCTAGCCCAGCCCCGCAGGTGCATTACGTTCCTGGCCCAGAGGCTGAGGAAAGGTGACAGGAGCCGGTTGTGCAGGGCAGCTGCAGCTCTCATCCAGCTGTCAGTAACTGCTGCCAGCAGCACAGTGTGAGCAAAGCAGTTTGTAACATTAGCCCAGCAGAGCTGGGAGTTGGGGGAGCCCAGGGCTGGGAGAGCAGGGGGCTGCGGGTCGGGACTGAGGGGCACCGGCAGAGCTAGAGTGGGGGGAGCAGGGCTGGCCTTAGAGAAAAAGGCACCCTGGTTGAACATGTATTTTGGCAACCCTGGCTCCCATGGGTGCGGCACCCCCCCCCCATTGCCCCTGGCCCCCATGGGCTCCCCACCCTCCCTTTTCCCCTAACCCCTGCCCCCATGTGGGGAAACTGACCTGGCTGCATGGAGGAGCTGGCATTGCTGATCCCCCGCCCCTCCCCAAACGCTGCTCCAGGGGCTGTGGGGGGCGAGGAGCGACATCAGGGCTCCCTGCAGGGGGAGGGGGCAGAAGGCAGGAGCTCTGAGCGAGGGCAGCGGGCACCTGAACCAGGAGCTGCTTGGAGCAGCCGCCGTGTAAACGCCCAGCTTGGGGCTGAAACCATGAAACGGGCCCATCAGGGCGAGCTGCCAGCTCACGGCCTGGGTTGGGGGCAGAGAGTCGGTGTGAGTCCAGCCAAGCGGGGGAGGGGGTCTGCATGCTGTGGGGGAGAGGGGGTGTGTGTACCCCCACTGCAGGGCCTGCGCTGGGCTTGGCCTGGGTTAGGCTCGTGCAGTGCTATTGTTACAGGGCGCTGGAGCCAGGGCTTCATGCCGCCCCCAAGGAGGGAGGGCTGAGTTTGTGCAGAGGTGGGGGGCCTCTGAGCTATCCCTCCCCCCTTAAAGGGCTGTTCTTGGGGGGCCCTGCAGCCATTTCCCTGGCTGGGCCCCCGCAGGTGGCACGAGCGGACACAGCCCTGGTGATCTCCTCGCTGCTCTCAAGCAGGGCGTCCATTGGCAACTGCAGGACCGGGGAGGCCTCTGCTGCCTCCAGCCGCTCAGGGAGGCCGGCGTTCAACAGCAGCACGGCCGCCACGGAGCCACCCACGCTGCCGAAGATCCCCATGGTGGCCTGGTGGAAGTCCCAGACGATGGCCCCCTTCTCCTGCAGCGAGGTGTGGGGGGAGGTCATGCGGGCGTACAGGTCCCGGCTGGGGTTCTTCCGCACGTGTCTGTCCGTCTGCTCCGCCGCGGCGTGTATCTCCTGCGCTATCCACACCAGGCGCTCCAGGTTCTCCCCCACAGCGACGCTGCCCCCCACCAGTTTGAGGGGCACGCTGGTGTCAAGGTGCTGGTTGAGGATGCGGAGCAGTGCGCGGGTGGCCGAGATGTATCCTTGCAGGGAGTTGTGCAGGGACTGGCTGGCGCGCACGAGCCTCTGCCTTTCGCTCTCTGTGCCAGAGAACAGGGACAGCATCACGCGGCTGGGAAACAAAGCGGAGAGCGCAGGTGAGGGGGCGAAAGCGGTTCCCCACCTGGATCCCCAGCGCAAGGACAAGGGGGTGTGCAATGGAACTGAGAGGCAGCCCCTTTCAAATGGAGTAGAGGGAATGTTGCTTCATATAATCCCAGAATTTGTCTGTGGAACTCACTGCCACATGATCTCACTGAAGCCAGGAGCCCAGCAAGACCCAGAAAAGGGATGTGAAATATGGCTAATGAGGAGAGCCAGAATGTTTTTAAGTTTGAAAAGATTAAACACTCTTATGCTCCAGGGCATGAACCTGCCTCTAACTAATGGCTGTGTAAGCAGAGTCAGGATGAGCTCTACACTGACATCTGGTGGTGAATTATGGCGAGTGTGGAAAAGAACTCCAGGGGCTGATCTTGTTTGCATAGGCACACCCACCCCGCCTAGCATGAGCCCACGGCAGCCCAAAATGGTCACTTTGGCTGCTGTGGGATCCCCAGTTTCTCTGTTATTGGGGCAGGAGGAATAAAGTGTTGTTACCCTGATTATGTGAATCAAGGCCAGTGGAACTGTTGTATGACAGAGGGTCTCACCATCACCTAAGTAGCACGCGCTAGATGAGGGACATGGGTTCCAAAACCAAGTGATTTGAAAGAGGCTGTGGACAGAGATTTGTACCTTGTGCTATGGTCTCCTTTTGAGGGTCTGAAACATCAATTCTACCATTTTCTTTGTTAAATAGCAGAACTAATTTTGATTCCGTTAAGAGTTTAATTACAGACTGTTATGCTGAATTCACTTTGGGCCAATGGTGTACTAGCACTGGGGCTTACCTACTATGAGCTGAAATCACCGAGTGCTGTGTTAATTAGTGGGGGAGCCTGAAGATTTATTGCTAAACGGCTGGCAGAGCGGGGCAGTTTGTGGGATGGCTGGAGGGACTCACAGGACAGCTGGAGGAGTGGAGTGGCTGGTAGAGTGGAGCGGCTTGTGGTGAAGGATGCGGCAGAACCCCATGGAGAGGCAGGGCAGTCAGCCTCGGACCATGTAAGGTGCCCCTTAATACCCCGTGTGCCCCTTTCTGCCCCTCCCCCCATTTCCACCCAGGCTGGGCGGGGGGTAAGACTCTGCAGATAAACTTTTGAACTCTGGGGCTGCACTGACCAGGGACAGAGACTTTTGGGTGATTCTTGGGTTGCTGGACTCAAGAGACTTTTGGGGTGTTGGACTTTTGGGACTTTGGGGGTGGGTCTTTTGCTCATGGTTTGTGTTATGAATCCTGTTTGTGGTGTTTTCCCAATTTAATGCTGATGTCGTTTACCTCATGTTATTAAATATTTTCTGCTACACTCAGACTCTGTGCTTGCGAGAGGGGAAGTATTGCCCCCTAGAGGCGCCTGGGGGGTGGTATGTAATTGTCCCAGGTCACTGGGTGGGGGCTCGAGCCGGTTTTGCATTGTGTTATTGAAATGGAACCCCTAGATACTGAACCCGGCCCTTGTTGCTGCCAACTCAGATGGGCAGAAGGGTTACAGCTGTCAGGAAGGAACTGTCCCTGAGTCAGAATCTCCCTAACCTGCTACTGTGGGGTTCTCTGAACCATCTGGTACTGTCACTATCGGAGACGGGACACAGCGCAAAGGGCCTCTGGGCTGAGCCTGTCTGGCCAGTCTGATGGTCCTAGTTATACAAAAAAAAAATGTTTTCCTGCTGCTCTTCCTGTTTTCAATGCACTGAAAGCGCCCAGACAAAGCCAGGAAGGTCCCAGGCTTCATAAGAAAGCCGGCAGCTTTTGTATCTCCAGCTCAGGCATGTTTTGAGCAAGTTTCAGTGCAGAGAGAGGAAAGAATAAAACACCACAAACTTGCCACAGCGAGTTCTTTTCTGCTGCTCGAAAGCGCTGGGGGGCGATTCCCAAAGCACCCAGCAGCATTGTCTTTGCTACTGAAAGAAGGGCCCCGACCTTCAGAGGTATTTCAGCTCCTGACTCCCTTTGGAATTGGCAGAAATCAGGAGCCGAAATCCCCTGAAGCTGACAGGGCGAGTTCGGTGCGGGGGAGCCGAGGGCGTCTCTTGTATCTTCATTGTGACAGTTCTGGCTTCCGTCCCCAGCACCCGGAGTCTCAGGAGGACGGGGAACTCCTGGCTACCTGGGCTTGTGGCCCCGCCAGCGTGGAGAAATGCCGGGCAGGGCAGCCCCTGGAGGCCCAGACGCCAGGAAGCTACTGGGCCCGGCCCTGCCTGGATTCTTTTTTAAAATCTCCTGGTTTTCAGCCGCTCTCATGATTTTTCCTTAACCTCAGGCAGCGAGGGGCTGCCCAGAGCCAGGGAGAGAGCTGGAGCAGGCCCCACTATATCCAGGAGTCCAGTGGGTACGGCACTGGGCCGGGAGTCAGAGCGGCCGGGTTCTCTTGCCAGTTCTGTCATATGGACGTTGGGGAAACCCCCTCCTTTCTCTGCTGAGTGCTGACCCACCCGGCCTTTGTCTGTCTTCTCTCTTTGCACTGTGAGCCATTCAGGACAGGACTGTCTCTCGCTGTATCTGGGCAGCGCCTGGCACAACGGGGCCCTGATCTCAGCTGGGGCAGGGACTGTCTCTGGCTGTTGATGAAGAATTGGGAATCTCAGCTCTGCTTGTACATAGATTTTTTTTTTTTAAATAAAAAAGTGTGTTCAATTAAAGAACCTGGCTGTCCCACGGTCCCTCGTTCCCAGCTGCGGGGTTCCTCCTTCCCAGGGTGACTGCCCCGCCCGGCAGAGGCCAGCGGTGGTGATGTACACAGGGGCACTGCTGTGCTAGAGGGTGTGCAAAGTACATCAGTGTGTTATCCGCTTTGCAGCTGCCTTGGGCCGCAAGAGAGCCATGCTGCGAACCGGAGGCAGTGCGCCATTGGGGTGGAGCCCGGGGAGAGGGCGTGTTGAAGCGACAGGGGAGTCTCAGGGGATGTTAAAAGCGACAAAGAGTCCTGTGGCACCTTATAGACTAACAGACGTATTGGAGCATAAGCTTTCGTGGGTGAATACCCACGTCGTCAGACGCATGTAGTGGAAATTTCCAGAGTATGTTGACACTGGAATAAAAGCCCTGTGGAACGGTGGTGTCTGGTCTGACTCAGGGTGGGTAGAGCTGGGACTCTGGGACCGTCTCCCCGCATGTCGACACTGCTAGTTTGCAGCCCGGCAGGCCAGCCACGGGTGTTTAATTGCAGTGCAGACATACCCTGAAGGGCCTGCATTGCGCCCAGGGGGGCGGCGGAGGGTTCCAGCTCTCGGCAGGGCTGCACCCGGAGGGGGTCTCCCGTCCTCACAGCCAGACAGGGACGTGAGCCAGACCGGGCGGAAGTGTTTCTGCACCAGCCGAACAAGATCAGTTTGGAAACGTCTATCAGCATTTCTCAAACTGGGGGCACTGACCCAAAAGGGGGTGGCGAGGCTATTGTAGGGCAGTCACGAGATCTAAGGGTACAATATTTCGAGGACACTGCCAGGGGGGGTACAGCTCTCCGGCTGCCCAGCACTGAAGGCAGTGCCGTCCCCAGCAGCAGCACAGGAGCAAGGGTGCAGTGCCATACGCCTCGGACAGGACGAGGTTTCACTTTCATTACAGCTCAGCAGCAGCAGGGACGTAGGAGGACAGTTTACACCCAGGCCAGAGAGAGACGAGGACAGAGCTGAAGCCAATGCAGGCTCCTACCAGCGCCGTTCAAGAGACCAGCTAGGCACCGGGGTGGAGTGCGCCAGCGATGCCCAGACAGATGCGGCTGAGTGAGCTGATCTCCGTCCTGGGCAGCGTAGGGAAGCCACTGGGGGATTCAGCGCCATTGACTGCAGGGATAGCGCCGACATGCTTCATTTACCGTTCCTAATACTATGTCCAGTGATTTGCTGTCACTCTGGGGGCGCGGTGGGGTCGTCACAGCCTGAAATATTTTCAAAGGGGGCCCAGCCATAAAAGTTTGAGACCCCCCCTGCTGGAGGCAGGTTCTTGTGGCTAAAGTTGCAATGCGCTGGCATCCGCTCAGCTGGTCCGTAATCTTCATAATGGGAGCTACAGTGGGGTACAAAGCTTCAGTGGTACCTGCCATCCCAGTAGAGACCTGGGCCTGTGTCTTGGTTTGAGGAATGGGCCAATCTCTGGTTACCTTCACCTTGGCTGGCTCTGGCTTTAGGCAGCTGCTTCCCACCTTGTGACCCAGGTACGACACCTCTGCACCCTCATCTTACCCTCTCCGGCCTCTATCATCCGTCCTGCATCCTGGAGGTGTCCCAGCCCCCTCTTCACTGGGACACACGGTTCTCGCAGGTCGGGCTGAAGACCCAGATATCATCAATGTCCTCCACAGTCCTCCACCCCCCTCAGTAACTGATCCCCCGCCTCTGGGGGGTGGCAGGCGCCCCCTGGAGAGCAAAAGGTCGGACCTGGAACTCAGAGCCCTCTAGGGGTGATGGGAGCAGATTTCAACCTGGCAATTGGGTCCAAAGGCACCTGCCAGTAGCCCCTGGTGAGATTCACAGTAGTGAGGTAATGCCCCCCCCTCTCCCCCGGCCCTTGTCTAGGATTTTGTTAGTCCTGGGCATGGGGCAGGCATCAAACATGGCGACGGCATTGAGCTTTCAGTAGTGCACACCGCGTCTGATCGACTCGTCTTACTTGGGGTCCAGCCCCACGGGTGAGTCCCAGGGGCTGGAGGAGGCTGGATCACCCCTAACAGCAGCACCCAGCTATTTTTTTTTTTTTTTTCTCCGCTGGCGGCCCCCCCCCCCCCATGTGTCCCGATATTTTCTTCCTCTCATCTGGTCACCCTAGTCAGGAGAGAGATTCCCCTTCTCCTTCCCCTGCCCCTGCCCCCATACACGGCCGTACCAACAGTCTCCCTGTCAAAGTACAGCTTCATGATGTCACATGGTACAACTGCCCAATTGGGCAGCTCCAGCACGACTCACCTCCTTCAGCTGGTTGCTGATTTCAAAGGGCTCTTCCCAGGTGCTGTTCGCCCTGAGCTGAGACCCCTCTTCTGGTCCCCGATCAGTCACTGTCGTACCAGCCCTTTAGCAGTTCCTGGGTCCCGGCTAGGTTCTTCCTGGCCAAACCCATGAGCTCAGGGAGCTTTCCCCAGAACGATAGTTCACAATCCACCACCGAGTCCCCATTTGTTTCTCATCAAGTCCAGGGGTCCCTATGAATTTCTGGGGCAGTAGTTTGGTGTCTAGATTCCCCGCAGAACTGTTGTCTTGGGGCCATTCTCCACTTACCCCCCGGCAGGCCCTCTTGGCCCGCCGCTCCTCCAACTCCAGCTCATGTTGTCACTGCTCCGAGCGGGCAGCTAACCTCCGCTCCTCCGGCTCCAGCTGCTTCACTCTCAGCTCCAGTTCCCATCTCTTCACACACACTGGGGGAAACCCAGGTGGGAAGCTCCCCTCCTCGCTGGGGAACTGGGTCCAGTGGACCCCCTGCCACTACCCCAACTGCCCCCTGCTACTCCCCAGGCTCTCCGGGCATCCGGGAAGCCCTGCTGGGATCTGGAACTTACTCCTCGGACTGGTCACACTCTACCAGCTGAGAAATCAGCTGCTCCTGGGTAAACCTCCCAATGCTCAGTCCCCTCTCCCTGCACGGACGTGCCAGGTCCCTCTTACAGAGCTGGTTATAGGCCATTTCCGCACTGGTTCCTTCAATTCCCTCATTTTATCGCTGGCAGACACTCACTGCAAAGCGCCTGCGCTCACAGCCAACTGCCTACAGGGTGCATCTGCCAACCATCCTCTGCTACCACGTTGTCACGGCCTCACAGGACTCGTGCTCTCTCAGTTCTGTATGGTCCCTGGGGGGAACTCCCTTCAGTGCGACAGCCCTTCTCGGGGGTCCGCTCTCTCTCAGGGGTTAAGTCCCTCCACCTCCTGGAACCTCACCTCTCTGAGCCTTAGCACACCTGTCTCTCGCCTTGGGCCCCCTCAGGGAGTCCCCTCACTCTGGGCCCCCGGGGCCTCCACTCCCAGATGGAATAATGCCACCCTGATCTCTAGCCCAGAGAGACTCAGCCAGCGTAAAACAGGAGGGTTTATTGAGTGTCTGAACACAGCACAGGAAACTCTCAGGGCCTCAGGCCTGGCCTCCCTCAGTACAGCAGATCTAAGTTTCTCCAGCCTCCAGGTGGGCTCTGGCTGCTCCCTCTCTCCAGCCCACAGGCCCCCGGCTTCCCAGCTGGGCATCAGCTATCACCGGCCCCAACAGCTCCTCCCCCGTCCTTTGTCTTCCGTCCCAGTAAACAGGCCGCTGGGTCCCTCTCTCTTCCGTCCTTTGTTCCCCTCTGGCTGGAACTGGTTGGTCAGGTCACCGGGGTACTCTCTCCTCAGCCCTTTGTCCTCCTACTGGCCAGAACTGCCAAGCTGGTGTCGGCCTCTTAGTCACCAGTTGTTAGGGTTCCCCATCACCAGGCCGTTGTCTGGGGGGTCTCAGCTGCCAGGCGAGGTCGCACCTGGTCCTCTGCAACAACAAACTCTCTCCCACCACCTTGTTAAACATGCAGCACACAGGGAAACTGAGGTGCACACACATTATTCATGTAAAACACTACAAAAATCCCCACTTCATCACAATCAGTCACCCACAGGTGGGGCTGGGGGGTCGCTGTGAGAAGGGGGAGCTGCCCCGTCTGTAACCGATGGGGGGGGGGAGTTCTGCTTTCCAGAGGGGGACCCTGACGAGCTGCAGCTCTGGGAAGGACCCAGGTGTCCTGTGGAACCAGCTGCCCGTGAGCCCCCCAGGGGATGCTGTGGCCAAGCGGGTGAGTGCGACCCTGGGCTGGGGAAACTGGTGAATAGCGAGTAGGAGCCGGGAGGTGGGATCCCCTCTGGATAGTGGGGAGACCCTGACTGGAGACTGCGCCCAGCTCTGGGGAGGAGGCGAAAAATGAAACTATCCCCAGGTGCCCCTTGAAACCAGAACAAAGCTGCCCAGCTGCGCACAGCTCCAGGCCTGGCGTTTTGTGCAAATTACTTCATGGGTTAATTTGCAGACAGCCAGAAACGGCAGCTTCTGCCCCACAACTGGGTCCCCCGGGCAGCAGGGGGAGGGAGCAAGTCATGCAACTGCCGAGCACTGGGCAGCTCCGTGGCTGGGGCAGGAGGTGGCCGGGTAGATGGGGGATGCTGCCGCGCTTCTGGGGTGGATGGATTCGGGGGTGCTGGAAGGTGTTGGGGATGGAGGGGGTGGGTGCTGGGACAGAGATCGGGGGAATGTGGGGAGGTAACGTGGGGGGAGAAGTGGGGCTGTCTGGGTCAGTGGCTGGGACACTGCGGGGGCGAGGGGGATCTCTGGCCATTTAGGGTCTGTTGGGGAGTGGGGCTGAGAGTCCCGAGCTTGCTGGGCGGATTCTCCCTCTCCCAGCTGGAGGTTCCGGCTGGCTCCTCGCGGCACTTTCCTCCTGAGACCACGTGGTTTGGAGGGGGAAGCTTGACGGGGGTGTTGGGGGAGACAGGGCCCGAGTCCTTCCACCCTAGAACCTCCAAGGTGTTTAGGTGCAGAACTCCCATGGATTGACGGGGAATTAGGCACCTAAAGACCTTTGGGGATCGGAGCCCTGGAGACTTTTTTGATTTAATGGCAGCTGAGTCTCTGCACTAGCTAAGCCCCTAACACCTCCGTCTTCTTCCTCTCCTGGCAGCTCTCGCGAGAATGTCCTGGAGCGATATCCTGTACCCAGACAACCAAGCGAGGTGGGAGAAGGTGGTGCGGTTACACCATCAGCTGATCGACTGCGTAGAGCTCAATTTTGATGCCACCAAGGAGCTGATTGAAGTCTTAAACACACACTGTCAGTGCGAGTTGCACCCCATTAAGATGAACAGGAACGGCACCGTCTGGGAGAACTGCGACGTATTCCTCGCAGCCATGAAGTCCATCCAAGACACGCTGCAGGCCATTGACGGAAGGTTGAAGAGCGAACTGGAGCCAGTTCTCTACCGAAAGCTTCACGATTCCCAGGAGACAGATGCCAAGAAGATGCAGATTCTGTGCTCTGTGGCCACGGCAGTGAGCGTCCTCGCTGGGACCCTGGCCACAGGGATCTTCGTCAAGCTGGTGTTATCGAAGGTGGTGACCAGAGTCCTGAGCCAAATTATGATGATCGTGGTCAAGGTCGGTGCCTCCATGATTGGTGCCATGGCTGGCGTGTTACTGGGTGGGGGTGTCGACTTGATTCTCAGCGCGATCCTGGGCACCAGAGAGAGACCGACTGGAGACAGCGATTCGGGAGCTCGAGGCACTGGTGAGCGAGTTCAAGCCAGCCTCCAAGGAGTATAACAAAAACATCCAGGAGATCAAATTCACGCTACCAAAGCTGGAGGAGAATCAGCCGCTCAGACGACTCCAGACCAAGCTGCAAGTTACCATTACTTCTAAAAATAAGGCCGTGGGGACCAGCTCCCATCTAGCATGACTTAGCCCAGCATCATTAAAGCCAGTACAATAAATGATATCTAGCTCTTACACAGTGCTTTTCATCAGCAGAGCTCAAAGCGCTTCAGGCTTCATTAATGTCTTTATCCTCCCACCACATCTGGGGATAGGGCAGGGCTATTACCCCCATTCTACAGATGGGGAAACTGAGGCCCAGAAATTCAAAGGTATTTAAGCACTCAACTTCCATTCATTTCAGAGCAATTGGCTCAGGCTCTCTGCAGACTCAGGCAACATCAATGATTTCAAGGGAAGCTAGGTGCCTAAAATGACTTGCCCTGTGTTTCTCCTCGCTGGCGGGGAGTCCCCCATCTCCCTGGGACTATGGGCGCCAGGGACAGAAGCCAGAACTGTCACAATAAAGAACTCAACCTACGCAGCTGTCAGCTAAGGGATTTCAGTTCCTCCTTTCTGGCAATTCCAAAGGGAGTTAGGAGCCGAAATACCTCTGAAGGTCGGGACCCTTCTTCCCGGGGCGAAGACGCCACCAGGTGCTTTGGGAATCACCCTCCAGCGCTTTCAAGCACCAGGAAAGAACTCGCTGTGGCAAGTTTGTGGTGCTTTGTTCTTTCCTCTCTCTACACTGAAACTTGCTCAAAACATGCCTGCGCCGGAGATCCAAAAGCCGCCAGCATTCTTATAAGGCCTGGGGCCTTCCTGGGTTTGTCTGGGCACTTTCAGTGCATTGAAATCAGGAAGAGCAGCAGGAAAACATTTTATTGTACGTAACTAGGACCATTGGACTGGCCAGACTGGTTCAGCCCAGAGGCCCTTTGCCCTGTCTCTGATAGTGACGGTACCAGATGGTTCAGAGACGCACGCCGCAGTGGAGCAGACGGACAGACACGTGCAGAAGAACGCCAGCCGGGATCTGTATGCCCACATGGCCTCCCCCTCCCCCCACCTCACTGCAGGAGTAGGGGGCCATCGTCCGGGACTTCCACCAGGCCACCATGGGGATCTTCGGCAGCGTGGGTGGCCCCGTGGCGGCCGTGCTGCTGCGGAACGCCAGCCTCCCCGAGCGGCTGGAGGCGGCTCTGCAGGAGGCAGAGGCCTCCCCGGTGCTGCGCCTGCCAATGGACGCCCGGCGCTGGAGCAGCGAGGAGATCGCCAGGGCTGTGTCCGCTCGTGACGCCTGCAGGGGCCCAGCCGGGGAAACAGCTGATCACGGAGCAGCAGCCGGGAACGGGCGAGGGGCCGGGCCAGAATCCTGCCGGCGTCGCCCATTGACTTGCGCAGGCAAAGCCATGACAGCGCCCCCTCGCCGCGGCACACGCACGGGCAGGCTTTGCCCCGGGCTCTGCACTGGTTACCAAGCCCGGCAGAGCCCAGCGTGTGGGACTGGCAGCCGGGAACCGCAGCTAATAAAGGGAACTGAGCAAAATGGCAGGCCTGAGTCTTACTGGTTTGTCCCGGCTGGCGTGCTGGCCCAATGGCCTTAGAACCAGACTCCCCTCCCGGCCCCTGGGGTAAATCAGGAGTAACATGAAAAATGCTGTTTTCCAAAACAGTTTTTGGGTTCAAATAAAACAAAAACATTCACAATTTTGGTTAAAAAATAGGGCGGGGGGAAAGCAGCAAATATTCTCCTGCCATGTTTAAAAAACTGCAGCCTCCTGGTTGTTAACTGAAAAACAAAAACCTGAGCCACAAACGTTCTGGTTACAATTATTTTTCCTGCAAATTGTTTTGTGCGGGCGGAGGGGCGGGGGAGGGGGCATTTGATGAAAAAACAAAAGAACAACAAAGTTCATTTTCAAAACCCCTTTTTGGTTAAAAAAAAAACCAGGTGGCGGTTTGGGTTGAAAGTTTGTGGTTTGGGTTTTTTAAAAACTTCCTTTTTTTTTATTAAACAAAAAAGAATTGAAAACCTTAACCTGATTTTTCTTTTTTACTTCAAAACGGATACGTTGGTCCCGGCTTTGGTTCCAGGGTTTTCCCAGTTTTTGCAAACTGCCTTGTTTCATGTGCAAACAGGGAGCCCAGACCCCCCGATATCAGGGGCTTTGTCTTAGACAGGCAACTAACTCCCCACTCCCCCCTCAAAAAGTGTCCCATTGTCAGGGGCGGCTCTAGGCACCAGCAAAGCAAGCAGGTGCTTGGGGCA